CTGTGCGGAGCCCCCGCGGGAGAGGCACACTCACGGGTGCAACGGGCCTGTGCTCAGCACCAGCTGGGGCTCATTCTCCTCCAGGCTCTGAAACCGGACACTGAACCAGGCTGTGAATCCATGCAGAGTGCCGGCTTTCCTGATCTCAAAGTGCAGCTCGCCTTTCATTGTCTGTTCAAGCAAATGGTAAGAAAGGGGCATGGCTTCCGTAAGCACGTGACACCAGGCTGCAAGGGTCTCCCCGATCAAGAATTAGCAACTGTCCTCCGCCTGGCCCCACCTCACAGATCCCACCTCCCTGCACTGCACTCAGCAGCCCTACCATCTAGTTCAGTAATTACGACTGTAACTTGCTAGTTTAGTTGAACACAGCGAACACCACATAAAATTTCCTCCTCCGGAAAGTATTAAAACTGGCATCATAAATTCAAATGCTGCAGATAATCAGAAAAGGTGTCAAGCAATTTGGGCCTCATTTGCCCAAATTTGAGTGGAATACTATTTCTTCTCAAGTCTTTGCATCAATAAAGTTCCAGGCTGGGTCTCTATTCTGCAAAACTGAGCGCAGAGTCAAGAGCTCAGTCCCCACGTTGTTCTGCCCATCTGAGCCCCAGCAGGGGCTTCCAGTGACCCCCACACTCTCCTGCACCTGCACCTCCCAGCACACCCTTAAAATGAGATCCTCCCAAATCCACACACGCCACCTCGTGGCAACAGGGGGTAAGTAAAAGTAAGAATTAAGAATTCTGTCATCAACAGTAGCGAAAAAAATTTTAATTGAAAGGCCTTGAAGAAACTGGATATAATTTATTAAAATCTGAAGATGCTGAAAATACTAAACATATATCTAAGAAGAACTGATGATGTTAAAGAGGTTAGCAATAAAGAAAATAATGTAAAATATAAAATACAAAACCAGAGCATAAAAAAGAAAAGACTCCGGAAAAATCAAAGGCAAGTTCGTAACATTCGCACGGAAGTCTTGGCGTGTGTGTGCCACTTACTTAACCTGAAAGGGAAGCACGCATCTTCTCTCACCTCTAGGTCAGCAATCTGCACGGTTCTCATGTCCAGCTGTAATATGGTGCATGGTTCAGAGAGACAGTCTTCTGGTTTCAAAATGTGGTTGTACTTGGGCTTCGAAAAAAACTCCTTAATTGCTAAAGATCTAGGGAAAGAGTCAAAGGCACTGCTCTGAGGCGTGTACCAACATCTCAGGCCGGGACACACACACGCACGTCCACAGCACTCGCTCTTTCCCTCCAGCATTAGCAGGAATTCCAAGCCATGGCCAGCGCACGAGGGCACCGAGGCAGGGCTGGAGGGCTCCCACCTCCATCCTCCTCACGGGGCCTGAACACACAGAAACCAGCCTTTCCCACACGGGCAGTGCCCGGACCCACTTCAAGGCCCTCCTCCTGACCTGTGGACAGAAGGTCCATGGGAGCCTCCCACGGGTCCCTCGCCTGCCTTCACCTCATTACGTGGACATTTCATCACCTCGCAGAGTAAGAAGGTGAGGACCGGACCTAAGATCGTCACAGCAAGTAAGATACTCCTGTTCTGGATGGCCCAGGAAGAAATGTACTGAACCAGCAAGCCTGCAGGACCCCTAGAGCCCGACTCTCAGGAGGAGTCCCTGCATACAGGCGCTGAGGCCCTGCACGGTCGTCTCGTCGTCACCCCGTCTAACCCCCGCCCGTTCCACTGCTGAACACTGTGCTTGCCCAAAGTCACCTACCATTTAGCACAGAAACGCTTCAAAAATCAAGCACAGCACTAACTTCTGAAATAGCAGTTGAAAGTCAACATTTTAAATAAAGATGCCACGATATGGACATATTTTTAGTATTTTCTGATAAAAATAATTATGCACGTATAAGGAACTGGGAAAATATAGAAAAGTACAAAGAAAAAACTTGAACATCCCATGCCCTTGCCTCGGCACTTGATATATTTAGTCATTTTCTCCCCCGGACATATATTCATATGTGTTTTTATGCAAAGTAGAAGCCATTCTGTAGACATGGTCTGTGTCCTACCACTTTCACCGTCTCTTAATCCATCGGGTGGACATACAGCAACCCAGCCAAGTTCCTTTGGAACGCTGTCTGTTCCCCACGTTGTGTGTATGGGAGCACGACGTGGCACCGGGACAGATGGGGGTGGACGCCGGACACCAGCCTGCAGGGCCCCCCGCACCCACAGCTCTGGGCACATGGGCTCGTCCCCCCATCTCACCTGCAGCTCAAATAGCACCAACTGCTGTCTAATCTTTGTTCATCTGGTAGGCAAAAATGGCATTTATTTTAATTTGCATTTCAGTCACTAATGATGTGATTTCTTTCAAATATCAACTGGTGTCTTTATTTAGTTTTTGTGACTTGCTTATTCCTGTGACTTGGCTATAATTTCACTGGACATACATCTTTTTCTGACTCTAGGATCTGTCAGCTAGCAACTTTCTCTAAGTAGTCGCCGCCTTTTTAAATTGTATTTATGCTGACACACAGATGTCGATTTTTATAGACTGAAGTCCAGTGCTGCCTTCTTTCTTTCTGTTGACTTCCCATCTAAAGCCTGACACAGAGGCCCCCATGGATTCCTGTACTTGATGCAGATGTTTTAACACAAAACTCTTAAACCCATGTGAAACTAAATCTCAATGTACAGTATGAGAGAAGGAAAGAGGTTTCAAGGGGCTCACCGATGGCCCAGAACACTTTGCCACCTGTGCCCCTCACGCCCCACCTCTCGCACACACGTTCCGTGCGTGTCCATCCGGTGCCGCCACTCTGTCCTTCCTTGTCTCAGGACCACTCTGCCTTCGTCCCGGTGCCTCCAGCTTAGACGTTACACCCGGCCACATCGGAACCTCCTCGCTGCTCTATTGTCAACCCTCCCAGCCCTGCCTGCCCATTTTCCCCTAGACGAACGACAGAACAGCTCTGCTGGGGACCTCTCCTCTCCATCCCCTCTGGGGCTCGGGTCGAGAGTGCAATGCTTCAACGTTAACTGGGGAAGATTTCTTACCTTTGCATTATCATCTCGTCTTTTGGACTGTTTAGAAGAAACCACAAAGGCCCAGAGCCCAGAGAGAGAGAGAGAGAGCACACGTAGCCATCGGGGCAGCCAGCAGGCACCCACGCCCACCTGGCCCTCACTGCGTAAGCGAGGCTCCCTGCAGATCCTGACCAGCGGGACCCTCCCCTACTTTCCAGGGCTGACGCCGGTGCCTCCAAACAATCAGGGCATGCTAGCCTCTGTCACCGTCTTCTTACAAAAGGCAACACCAAAAACACGAGGCCGTACCAGCCAATCATTTCCTATTACCACCTGAAGTCCAACTGTACAAGCGTGTCCGTGTGTTAAAATGAGGACAGCAATTATGCTACGCTGGAGCACGGCTTCCTTTGCCAACTGCCAGGAACAACTTCACAAATACATTTTCTGATCCTTTAAAAATGAACAGCTCTTAGTAGGAACACGTACTTGTGTGTTAACAGACCACATATTTAGAAAGGCCTTGTTTCCAACCATGACCACATTTTTCCCATTATATCTGAGAACTTAGACTGCAAAAGCCTTGTCATTTCCCATCACATCTGTTACGAGTTTGAAGGCATGAAAGTCAACGTGCGAAGCTCTTAGGCCTGTGAATGAATTCTGATCCGCGTCATGGCAGGCCCTACAACGGAGTAGGCGCGCTGTGTCTAGCAAGCCCGCGGCGCGCCCAGCCAGGCGGCCAGGAACACGCGGGCGCGCACCCCGCTGCACTCACTTGAGGGCGCTGAGGTTGAACTCGTAGGCGTTGTCCCAGAAGAGCACCTTGCTGCGGTAGTCTCTGTCCGCGCTGCAGGGCACCAGGTGCAGCGCGGCTGTGGTCGGCCAGATGACCCCATCCTCCTTCAGCCACACGTCCCGGGCGTACAGGATCGACTCAATCATGAACTCAAACTGCACAGGAGGGAGACACACAGGGGACATGGTGACTGAGGCCCGTGCCTGCGACAGACGGTCTGGGAGGACTTACCTTGTACCCACACCAGCGGTGTTGCTGGTCCCTACCCCAGCCTGGGGTGGAGTCACAGCAGCTCACACTGCACTGGGTTCACAACTGGGCCCGGCCAACGGGAGAGCCCTTCCCTCTCACCATCTCTGTCAGCCCAAGTCAGCTGCAACTCCATTTTTAACAGCCCCAAAGCACTGCAGAGTCTTCACTGTAAAACCATATAAATCTGGCCTCTGGGGTATTCTCAGCATTTTCGTAACCCTGTAAGTTGACTGAGATCACTTCTTAAAAACATGAAACATTAAAGCAGGCATGCCGCGGAGGTTCATATGGTACTTAAGTCATAAGAGCAGCTTAACGCCACCTCACACCCTCAGAACGCACGGGACAGGTGGCATGTGATGCCTGAGATGGGCAGCGGGGGCTGGGAGCAGCCCCAAGAAGCCAGCCTTTGTGTCTGAACCAGGGAGTGTGTGGGGAGTGTGCAGGGAGCGTGCAGGGAATGGGAAGCCGATGGGAAGCCCCAGAAGGGCTTTTTCTTAAGTAACTTCAGGCGGTTTTTATTACAGAAGTAGTTTATGTTCAGTATGGAAAAATTTAGAAAACTCAGAAAAGCACAAACAAAAAGTCATGAGTAAACCCAGCACCCAAAAGGAACCATTGTTTGCTTGGCAGCTTATCCTCAAGGACTCTTCTTCACGCACACACACATGCACACATGTGAAAATTATATACAGGTAATTTTTAATTTTATTTTGTTAAATTACCAATAGTAAGTCAGTCTACAAATTTTAACACTTCTTTGGATCTGTGGAACACAACCACAATCAGGATACGGAACAGCTCCATTACCCCAAAACACTCCTCGTGATATCCTTTGTGGTCACCTCCTCCCACCACCTCCAACCTCTGGAAACCACAAACTGGCCTCCCCGTGGCTTTGTCTTTTTGAGAATGTCACATAAACGGAATCATATGGTACACACTCTTTGGAGACTGGCTTCTTTCACTCAAAATATCAACTTTTTCATAGGCTAGAAGGTTCTGTCCTGTGCTTTCTATCCTGTTCTGTGTCTTTCCTCGTTATAGTATCACAGTTTTATTTACTCTATGTGACTTTAATGATGCCAGCATGTCGTCTCTGGGGTTTGTCCATATTTGTGCATCAGTAGTTCATTCTTTTTTTTTTTTTAAAGATTTTATTTATTTATTTGACAGAGAGAGAGACAGCGAGAGCAGGAGCATAAGCAGGGGGAGTGGGAGAGGGAGAAGCAGGTTCCCGGTTAGCAGGGAGCCCGACGCGGGGCTCGATCCCAGGACCCTGGGATCGCGACCTGAGCCGAAGGCAGCCGCCTCACCGACTGAGCCGCCCAGGCGCCCCAGCAGTTCATTCTTTATTGCCCAGTATATTCCACTGTGTGGATGTCCCACAGCCGCTTATCCAATCACCTGCTAAAGCACACTGGGGTTGTCTGCAGTTTGGGGCAATTATAACTGGAGCCGGTATAAACACTCACGGACCGGTCTTTGTGTGAACACAGCCTGTTTCTCCAGCATCAATACCTTCACGTGTAATTACGGCGTCGTAGGGTAAGTGCACCTGTAACCCTGCAGGAAACTGCCAAACGGTCTTCCAGGGTGGCTGTGTCATTCCTGAGTTTTAGCTGTCCACGGCACGTGGTATTATTACAACTTCAGCCATTTCAATAGGCGCGTGGCGGTATCTCGTTAGTTTTAGTTTGTATGTCCCTGTTTAATGTCTTTTCACATGCTTATTTCTCATCCATCTATATATACTTTGGTACAAAGTCTCTATTCAAGTCTTTTGCCCATTTTTCACTTAGGTTGTTTACTTTCTTCCTGCTGAATTTTGAGAGTTCTTCGTATATTCAGGATACACATTAGATATGTGATTTGCAAATATTTTCTCCTAATCTTACCATGGCTTTTCATTTTCTTTTACAGAGCAGACATTTTCAATTTTGATCGTCTGGCATATCAACTTTTTCTTTAATGGATCATGCTTTAAGAATCAACTAAAAACCCTTTGCCTAACCCATGAAGATTTTCTCCCAAGATTTCTTCTGCAAGTTTTATAGTTTTATAGTCCAAGTTATTAGATCTAGAATCAATTTTGAATTAACATTTTTGTAGAAGGTATGAGGCTTAAAAATGAAGCTCTTTTTTTCTTTCTTCCTTTTTTTATTTCACATATGGATGGCCAACTAACTGCCAATATCTTCTAATGAAAAGACTACCTTTTCTCCATTAAACTGATTTTGCTCCCCTGTTAAAATCAATTGACTATAGTTTTAGGCATCTATTTCTCCATTTTATTCCATTGTCTTATGTGTCTACCCTTTCCACCAATACTACACCGTCTTGACTACTATGCTTTATGCTAAGTTTTAAAGTCAGGCAGCATGTAATTCTTCCAACTTCATTCTTCTTTTTATCAGCTGGGGCACTTGGGTGGCTCAGTCATTTAAGCGTCTGCCTTCAGCTCGGGTTGTGATCTCAGGGTCATGGGATCGAGCCCTGCGTCGGGCTCCACACTCAAGCAGGGAGTCTGCTTCTCTCCCTCTCTCTCTCTAAAATAAATAAACAAATCTTTAAAAAAAAAAAAAAAAGACAAAAGGTAACAAATGCTGGCAAGAATATATAGAAAAGAGAACCCTTGAACATTGTTAGTGGGAATGTAACAGCCAGTGTGGAAAACAGTACGGAGGTTCCTCAGCAAATTAAAACTAGAAATACCATGTGATCCAGCAATCCCACTTCTGGGTTCATATCCAGAGGAACAGAATCATTATCTCAAAGAGGTGTCTGTACTCCCATGTTCACAATAACCAAGATGTGAAAACAACCTAGGTGTCCACTGACAGATGAGTGGATCAAGTATGATACAGATGTGACATGTGTGTGACATGTCGCCGCAGATGCGGACACACCCAACGGAGTCCTACTCGGCTGTGGGAAAGAAGGAACTTCTGCCATCTGCAGACCCACGGATGAAGCCAGAGGGCCTTATGCTAACGAAAAAAGCCTCACACAGATACACAAATACTGCATCATATCACTTACATGTGAAATCTTAAAAAAAAAAATTTTAAGTTGAACTCATAGAATCACAGAGGGTAAAAAAGTGGTTACCAGGAGCTCAGGGGTGAGGAAAACAGGGAGACATTGGTGAAAGGGTACAAACTGTCAATTATAAACTGCGTAAGGTCTGAGTATCTATTACATACCGTGGTGACTACCGTTGACAATGCCGTCATTGTGAGGTGACAGATGTGCTGACTCAGTGGGGCAGGGGGTGAGGGGAAGCTGTCGGTAATATATACAAATATCAAATCTTCATCCTGCATATCTTGCTATCTTATGACTTTGTAATTATACCCCAATGCAAGTGAAGACAGGCAACAGATAAACAGATCATACATAAAGAAGTGAGCTTTAAGAGAGATCACAACTGAGAAATATTTTTAGAAGTTGGAAATGGTCTACAAAGTGAATGTAACATCAATTTATGAAAATATGAATCTTGTTCACATTATCAAAGCATGTTCGTATAGGTTGTAAACCAACATGCGTCTGAGCATTAAATTAATTCACCCTTAATTTATGCTCATTAAATTCCTTAACTTTATTTGCTTAAAAAAAACATAAAAAGAGGGGAGCCTGAGTGGCTCAGTTGGTTAAGCGACTGCCTTCGGCTCAGGTCATGATCCTGGAGTCCCTGGATCGAGTCCCGCATCGGGCTCCCTGCTCAGCGGGGGGTCTGCTTCTCCCTCTGACCCTCTCCCCTCTCGTGCTCTCTGTCTCTCATTCTCTCTCTCAAATAAATAAATAAAATCTTTAAAAAAAAAAAAAAAACATAAAAAGAAAAAAGAGTGAAAGAAAAAAACAGGAACAAAGAACAAGAACAACAAACAGAACACAGTAACAAATATGGTAGATATATTAATCTGACTATATTAATAATCACTTTGAATGCCAATGGTCTAAATATACCAGTTAAAAGACAGAGATTATCAGAGTGGATCAAAAACTAAGACCCAACTAGGTACTGTCTACAAGAAATCCACTTTAAATATACTGACACAGGGGTGCCTGGCTGGCTCAGTCAGAAGAGCATGCAACTCGTGATCTCAGGGTCATGAGTTCAAGCCCCACATGGGGTGTAGAGATTACTTAAATGAAAAATAAAATGAATAAATATACTGACACATATAAATTAAAAGTAAATGGATGGAGAAAGATATACGATTCTAACACTAATCAAAAGAAAGCAGGAGTAACTTGTTAATTTCAGACAGAGCAGGCTTCAGAGGAAGGAAGTTATCAGAGATAAAGAGGGCCATAGCATAACGATGAAGGGGTCAATTCTCCAAGAAGACATTATACACCTAACAACTGAGCACCACTGTGTGAGGCAAAAACAAAGAGAGCTGCAAGGAGAAAGAGATGAATCAGGCACCCCCGTCTCAGAAAAGGACAGATCCAGCAAGCAGAAAGTCTGTAAGGACACAATCGAACTCAACACCACCATCCACCAACAGGACATAATGCAAACCTACAGACCACTTCATCCAACAGCAGAACACACCTCCTTCTCAAGCTCACATGGAGCACTCACCAAGAGAGACACGTTCTGGGCCATAAAACACATCTGCACAGCTTTAAAACAACAGAAATTATACAATGTCTGCTCTCAGAACACAAAAGAATTAAACTAGAAATTAACAGAAAGATAGCTGGAAAATCAAAAAATACTTGAGAGATTAAAAAACACTTCTGGAAAAAAAACACATGGATCAAAGAAGAAATCTCAACAGAAATTTTAAAAATATTTTGAATATTGCCAAACTTTTTGTGCATTAATTGATAGAGTCATGTGAGTTTTCTTTTGTAGACTGTTAATACAGATTACACGGACTTATTTTTCCATACTGAACCAGCCTTGAATTCCAAAGCTAATCTCTTCTTTGTTAGAATGTCATTCTAACTGCAAGATTACATTTGCTAGTATTTTTGAGGATTTGTGCATTTATGAACATGAGTTATTAGGTCGCAGTTTTTGGTTTGGGTTTGGTATTAAGGTAATGCAGGTCTCACCAAATGAGCTGGGAAGAGTCTGTCCTCTTCCATTTTCTGAAAGACATTGTTCAGATATGGCGTTATTTCTTCCTGAAATGTGTTTGCATATTTTGCCAGTGAAATAATTTAGGCCTACAGATTTCTCTTCTGAAGGTTTTCAACTGTAAGTTCAATATCTTTATTAGTTATTTCATTATTCAGGTTATCTACTTCATTGCGAGTTAGTTGTGGAAGTTTGCAGTTTTCAAAAGAATGGATCTTTTTCATCTAAATTTCTGAAGCTACGTATGGAGAGACAGAGAAGGAATAACAATGAACTCAAGACCAGGTCAGTGTACTTCAAACTCTGGTCTTCTTTCCCAACATTCCTGCTACTATATGCTTTTCCAAGTCCTCAAACAGCATCTCTCTGCACCCTGTCTTGGATCTATAGCTGTATTAACTGGGAGACAGGGTGGAGTGTGCTTACTCCATCTTACCTGGAACTGAAGCAAGGTCATTGCTATGTATGATTTTTTTTTTTTAATGTATTTATTTGAGAGAGAGGCAGCGTGAGTGCACAGTAAGGAGGGGCAGAGGGAGAGAGAGTCTTAAGCAGACTCCGAGCTCAGCACAGAGCCCCACACGGGGCTCAATCTCACGACCCTGAGATCACAACCTGAGCCAAAACCAAGAGAGGGACACTTAACCAACTGTACCACCCAGACGCCCCACTATATATGGTTTTTAAAAAAACTGGACTCATATTGTACATGCTTTTTGGTGCTTTTTTCAAAAATACCACCAACCAATGTTTTTTCTCTAAGATTATTACAAGTTTAAGGTGTACAGCATGGTAATTTGGTTTATATATATTGCAAAATGATTACAATAGGTTTAGTTAATATCTATCACCTCATATTGACACATTAAAAAGATAAAAACTTTGCCTTGTGATAAAACCTCTTAGATCTACAGCTGACCTTGGAACAAGCAGGGAATAGGGCACTGACTCTTCATGCAGTTGAAATCCACATATAACCTTTGACTCCCCAAAAACTTGATTACTAATAAGCTACTGGTGACCTAAAGCCTTAATAAGAACATGAACAGTCAACCAACATGTATTTTGTTACTTATATTGTGTACTGTGTTCTTACAATAAAGTAAGCTGGGGAAAAGAAAATGTTAAAATCATAAAGGAAATACACTTACGGTACGGTCCTATATTTACCAAAAAAATCCCACGTGTAAATCCCATGTCCACGTGGTTCAAACCCACGCTGCTCGAGGCCTGAAGGTGCTCTGATAATGACGGTCCCACACATCTCACAGCAGGGCGAGCCGCAGTCGCCACACTGTGCATCATGGCCCGGGACTCACCTGTCTGCCACCTGAAGTCTGTTCCCTGTGACTACAGTCCTCCCATTCCTCCCCCCGCCCCCTGCTAACCACAAATGTGATCCCTCTTCTAGGACTGTGGTGCGTGAGTTTTGTGTTGCTGTCTTAGGTTCCACATGTAAGTGAGATCATACCACATGTCCCTCTCTGACTTACTTCACTTAGCATAACGCCTTCAAGGTCCGTCCACGTCACAGACGGCGGGACATTATGGCATCACGGCTGCCCTGCACTAAACAGAAGTCAGCGCCAGGAGAAGCACCAGGTGGTTTGGCTGAGCACGACAGCCACGGCTCTCCCCATGATGTTCTGCTCACAAGAGCCCGAACCCAGTTCACACCCGCTCCTTGGAATCTGCACTTCCTCGGCGCAACCCACGGCCATCCCGCGTGTCCCGGCGCCCCTTACCAGCAGGCAGGTCCCCATCCACTCGGATACCAGCACGTCTACCTTCTCCGGCAGCACCACATCCTCCACCTTCTGCTGGAACACGGTGATGATGTCGGCAAAGCCATTCTGCATGACCAGCTGCCCTGTGTGCTGGGCCATCTCGCTGGCCTCCACCGCATACACCTGCACGTCACAGGACCGTCAGTGTGCATCCCACCCACAAAGCAGCCTGTCATCTGCTCTCCCTGGGCCTGTGGCTACAGCCAAGTCAGAACCAGCCTCAGAGGAAACAGGGACAGAAGGAAGGGAGCGTGCTGGATAGCAGGGACAGCAGCTGGGCCACACTGTGTGACCTCCAACAGACGGAGCCCTGACAAGGGAGCTACCCCCAATCTTAACTCTACCTTCTGCCTAAAACAGACAGGGGGCTGCTGGTGGAAAGAAGCCTCTGCACGCACGCTGGGCATCCATCGCAGGGGCCCTAATGGGTCAGACCCAGTGGCCCGGCTCCCATACACACAGCCACATACCCCGTAACTGACGCCGGAGATTCCCAGCATGGGTCTGAGAACAATCCGACATTCAGGATACCAGTGGCTGAGACAATGTCAAGCCCAGGTTGTCAGAGGAAGGTCCTGAGTGCTACGTCTTGGTTCTGACAGCATCTGAACTCCAGAGACCACTGTCCTGCAGTTTCCGTTATGAACTAGGAGTTTCATCCACCTGTGTCAGGGGCCATCATGACCCTTCAACTCTGGAAGCCCCACACATGCTCTGAAGGGAAGAGGATGAAGGACCCCAACATGGGTCACAGAGACTGGTCTGTTCTGGCCCTACCAGGTGGTCCCTGCTCGGTGCAGGGATAACACTTGGACAGTGATCTACACAAGTGGCCCAGCCCCAACACAGGGACACAAGTGTTTCTCTAACTGAAATAAACATTTTACAAAAAATATCCCACCACATGCAACTCACTCAGGTATTTTCTATTCCGTCCTATTCTACTCTGTGCTGTTTGTGACTCAATAAGCGAGGTCATGACCCGACAGGCTCAGGGTGTAAGAACGCACCACCCCTTTCACCGACATGATGCCTTTGCACACGGATGACACTTCACCAAGACTCGAAGCTGCGGAAGGGCCAGCTGTGTCTTACTCACGGCTTTCGGCTGCGCATAATGTGCACAAAAGAGGCTGATAATCCCAGTTCCACAGCCAACGTCCAGAATCACTTTATCTTTCAGGGATTCTTTATTCTGCAGGATAACGTTGTGGTATTTAGTGGTTCGTGGCTGGTCTGCCAACATTTCCAAGTGAAGTTTCTAGAGGAAATACACATTAGGAATCATTGCTTGTAATCTGAGCTGTGCTGAGCTCTGGTTTAAAAAGGAAGATCAGAGACTGAGCTAACCCCCTTGATCCCACCATACCACGCCTAAAAATATGAGCAACAAAGAGAAAAAGACACAAAAATCGAAAGACCTAAATATGCCAGTAGATAAAAATACAACAGTGAAGGAATGAAATGGAAGCTTCTGGAATCCTCCCAGTTCAGTGTGATACTGCCTACAGCTTCTCCCTGCACCTCCCCAACAGCCAGATGAGCAGAGAGGCAGGGGTGGACCACTCGGGAGGTGGCGAAGACATTGCCCTCCTGACCACTGTTCCCACCTGAGACAGGAGCAACTACCCAATTCCCCATCAGGTACAACTTGGCCAAGTATCCACCAACAGAGAATGTGGACAAGCCACCAGGAGAGATGCTAGAGGAGACACATAGACCCCACATGAAACTATAGCTCTGGAGGGACGTGACAACCCCGATGACCCTCAGGGGGTGAGCTCAAGGCCCCCAGCCATGTCCAGAGGGCGGAAAACACATGAAACCCAAGATAACATAACACCCCATGGGAATCACGCTACTCCCCAGAGAAACAGAGAAAGGCTCCTCCAAATGGTTCCTGAAACCACGGGTGGCAGTCAGAGCCCAGAAGGGCTGAACCCAGAGCACCGTCCCCCACGCCCCATGCCTCGGGTCTCAAACTGCACACAGCGCAGCTGCGAGGAAGCCACTGAAGCTACCCAGACCAGGTCAGCACAGACAGGAAGCCTGCACAGGGCCTTCATGAGCCCACCGTGGCTCCACACAGAGACACTGAGCACTGAGAAACAAAGAGACTGAGGGTCAGAGTGGACACAGTCAGGACTCAGCCATCCCGCCTGGAGTAGTCCACCTAAACAGAAAGTCAGAACTAGGATGCTAAGGTGTACCGTGCTGACGTCAGGGGAAGAAAGTTGGGTGGTGGCATTATCATCACCCAAAATACACTTCAGATCAAAGAATATTCCCCACAACAAAGAGGGTGAGGTCACAGTGACACCAGAATCACTTCAGCTAAAGGACATAATTCTAAATAGTTTTGAACCTAGTAACAAAGCTTCAAAATATACAAAGCAAAAAGCAACAGAAATGCAACAAGAAATAGACAAATTCACAATTATGGTCAGAGACTCCCAACATCCTTCTCTCAGTAACTGATAGAGAAGTAGAAAAAAAATCAGTAAGGACATAGACTTGAACAATACTATCAAAACCAATTTAATCTGATATTTATAGAACACTGAACCCAACCAATTTTAATAATAATACACAAAAACCATCTAGGAATAGATTTAACAAGAAAGATACAGCACCCTATATGGTCAAAAACAAGGCTGAAGAAATGGGCACAGTCAGTGTGATGCTACCATCATGTCACTTCTCCCTAAATTAATGGGAGACTTTCCACGCAATACCAATTAAAATGCCAGCCAATTTGGCATGGGGAAGGGTGAATAACAAATGATAATAAAATTAGCTTCAAAAAATTAAACAGACCAGCCTAGCCATCAAAGTACTAAAAAGTATGAGGACTGCTAGAGGCCCAGCTCTCCCAGATGTTTAAAAGCTTCAATAATGAAAAGCATCTGGAATGACAGAAAAAATGAACAGATCAATGAAACAAACAGATTACAGAACTAGACCATAGAAATTTAACATATGATAAACATGCATTTCATGTAATCAGGAAAAGGAGGCTCACTGAATAACTGATGCTGGAACAGCTGGGTATTTGTGGGGAAATTAAGTTGTAATTTTACCTTATTCTTTACAACTAGTAAACTCCAGACTGATTTAAATATTTCATTGTTAAAAATGGGGTCACAAAAGTACTAAAAGAAAATGTGGACATTTATAATCTTGGAGGGAAAAAGGTCTTCGAAGTAGGACACAAAACCCAGAAGTCACAAAGACAAAAAGGACAAATTAGACCACAGAAAGGTAAAAAGTTCCATGGGAAAAAAGAGAGGTGAGTGGTTAGTGTAATACGTACCGTAAGTATGGGCTAACTTGCTTATTTAACATATAAACTGACAGAAATAAAAAGAAAAATGAGCAAATTATATGAAAGTTTACCCAAAAAAGAAGAAATAGAAAAGGCCAACAAAATATAGAAGATGACCAATCTGACTTTAAAAAATGGAAACTGAGATCGAGAGATACCATATTTCACCTTTAAGATGAGAAATCTTCTTTGGCTTTGGAGATGTGAGGTTGTGAAACGAGCATTCACCTACCCTGGTGGCGCACAGTCAGCCAATCTTTCTGCAGACTGGCAGAACTGGCAGACCCACCAAAGTAAAAGAAATACATACACACGCCCTACAAATTTATCCAACAGAAAGTCTAGCAGAAGTTTAAAGATTCCTGTAAGAGGGAATCCACTACAGCACGGCTTGTCATGGGGCAACACGGCAAAGCTGTTAAATAAGCAAATCACCAATAGGGTCCTTTTGAAATCGACAAAATACTCTTTCTTAATAGTTTGAAAGCTCTAATCATGAACATACATCAGGGGCTTTTCATTTATTGTAACATGTTTAACTGTGAAACAGGACTTACCTACCTAAAAAGCGCTTACAATCTGTCAATACAGTTACATAACAAACACTCATGCAACCACACCAGAACACTCGCCAGCACCCCAAACCTTCCCACCCCAGCCTCACGGCCACAAAAGCCGGGAAAGAAAATCTCCCTTAAAATGGACAGGGGGTGCCCTGGGGGTGGGCAGGCTCAGCACTAGCCCTCCACCATGGCAAACTCCAAAGGAAGAAGCCTACTTTACTAACCCAGCAGGAGGAAGATTTTCTCCAGGCCTAGCAACAGCCCAGCCGAGGAGAAGCCTCCGCCACCCTCCAAAGGCCCTCCGTTCCACACAGCCCCGCCCACTCCCCGCCTTCTCTATAAAGAGCCTCCTCGCCTTGGGTCTCCAGACTGGCCCGTGGTGCCCCACAGGGCGCTTGTCCTCGGTTGCAGTTCCTCTGCTCTTCTTGAATAAACCCATTTTGCTGGTATGACAGTTATTTAATTTTTAAGGTTGACACCATCACAGACCCCCTGGTAACAGGAACCACCATCCTGATTCTCGGAGGAACCAGCTCCCTGATCACTTACCTTCATAAACATCTTTTAACACTGCTTTTTAACTTGATATAACTGAATCAAAAGTTATTCTTTGATGTCTTGCTTCTTTCACTCAACGTTATGTCTGCAATGTTTATTCTGCACGCATCTGTTTTTATCTAGCTTTAAAATACAAACAGGGGCTGTCTGGTCCATAAGGTTATAGGTCTTCATCCAAATTGGGAAAAAAAACCAAAAAACTAATAAGCTAGTTATTTAGAGGTATTATTTTTGACTTGTGTAACGTTTTTGTATTTAAAATAAAATGTTACTATTTTTTAAATGCTGAGAAAAGTTCATAATCCCATTGCTCAGATAACATCTCTAAACCACCACGCGCCAATCCAGCCCACCACCTGCTTTTGTAGGGCCCGCAAGCTAAGAATGGCTTTTACAGTTTTCAATCGTTTTTTTTAAAAATCAAAAGAACATGCCATGCTCATTTCTTTATGGTTTTATGGCCGCTCTTGCACTACAATGGCAGAGATGAGTAGCCACATGGCCTGTTGAGCCGAAGAAAAAGTCTGCAAACCCTGCTCTGAGCCATGAAGAGCAGCAGCCCTGCTGCAGCTAACTTTAAACCAGAGACGGGGAACCACCAGCTCAGTGGCTGCAGCAGTACCAGGGTTCCGTAGCTGCCGAAGTACTCTTCATCCTGCCACGTGTCTTCAGGGTCACACTCCTCCAGGTGCTTCCCAAGGTGGTTTGCAGGGATGTACCCACAGCAGCCTGCACGCTCGCCCCACCACCAATCAGCAGTTGTCTGTCTCAGGATGAGAATTTTTTCTCCTCTCAAAAAGCTGAGCTGGAAAAAAACATACATAGAAGTCAAAATTCAAGAAAAACCTGTAGTTGTTATTTCAATTGTGGCTCAGTGATAAATCCATCATTGGGGCCCAAATCACAGCTATTTCAAAAAGGACTCAATGGGTAATTATACAAACTCACAATTTCTGAAAATGATACCAAGACTTAGAGACTTTTGTGGAACAGCTACATGAAAGAAAAGCACAGCTTAACTGGTATTTTTTAAAGGAAAGAGTAAACATGTTTGAATGGCTTAAGGCAGAATTTCTCTACAGCCTCTTCACTGTAACTCAGTTATGTGATAGCTGATTCATTTACCGGAGCAGAAAAAGCTACATTCAAGTCGATGTTTTTTCCAAGATTTATTTATTTGAGAGAGAGAGTGTGAGTGGGAGGGAAGGGCAGAGGGGAGAGGGAGAGAGAACCTCCAGCAGACTCCCCGCTGAGCACCAAGCACAGAGCCCGATGCGGGACTTGATCTCACAACCCTGAGATCATGACCTGAGCTGAAATCGAGGCGGATGCTTAACCATCTGAGCCACCCAGATGCCCCTCAAGTCAATACTTTTATTTTATAGCCTTATTTTTCATTAACTAGACTAGGTTCTAAATCATGGTTTCCTAAAAGAAACTGGAGCAGGTGCTTCCTTCCCTCCTTCCTTACCCACGTATCTTCCACCTCAGGCTTGGCATCGGAATTTGTTAGGCTGGGAAGAGAAGGGTCCCTCACAGGTCTCATTTGGCTCTAAACCTCTGAATACTTCTTTACTTAACTTTGGTATGACTTCTTCAAAATTTAATTCTAATTCTGTCATTCAGCACGGCACTTAGCCGAATCCATAAAACATGGACCCAAGGCCCACGGCCCCTGCATGTGAGCAAGTGCTTAGGGTTACCTGCGTCTGGTCAGTGGCAGAATAGTCTGCAATGGCCACAAACTCTTCTGGGTGCACACCCTCCTGGAGATGCTCCTGGCCACCACACTCCACACGATCTTCTCCCTCCTGCTCAAAGCCAAGCAAAGAACAGGGGATGACTATGGGGCTTCTCTCTCTCTCTGTCCATCCTAATAACCAAAGGCTACAGGTTATCAGGATGGTTTCACATGAAGATTCATGTGACCAGGTTTAATCACACAATTTGGATCATCTTCACTAGGAGCATCGAGGGATCTCACCCTCCCTCCACCTTTACTGTTTGTCTCTAGTACAAAATTATTTGCATCCTAAGAAGATCATCAAATAAGAAAAGAGGCACTGTTAGTGTCTACTTGGTGACTGACCCTGATCACCAGCAACTCCTTCTGAAAGTTGTGACCGGCCCCAAGAGAAAGAAGACCTGTTTCTGGGCCTCACGCTCTCGGGACCTCATCAGACCCAAGGACAGAGCTGGGCAGGCTTCTGGAAGGTGCCAGTGACTGGGCACGACCCTCACGGCCTGACCTGGACCACACTGCTGCTCACACAGGCTGCTCAGGAGCTGGAAGGGGAGCCCGAGCCCACACACTGCCCAGTCTACACTTTCTATCCGAACAGGCTTGTCTGGAAGGTGTCCACTGGAGGTGGCAGAACCTCCAAGCACATGTTCCAGTTCAATGAAGCAACCCCGTCCCAACATATACATTTTTAACAAAGTTTCCTAAATTTAAACATAATTCATGTTCTTTGGAAAATGTGTGAGGCACAAGTGTACACAGAGGAAAATTAAAACCATCTGTAATCTCGCCCACTGGTCAGAAATAATGATGGTTAACACGTTAACATTTATATTTTTTCAGGCTTTATTTTTTTTTTTAAGATTTTATTTATTTGTCAGAGCAAGAGAGCACAAGCAGGGGGAGTGGCAGACAGAGGGAGAAGCAGACTCCCTGCTAAGCAAGGAGCCAGATGTGGGGCTTGATCCCAGGACCCTGACCTAAGCAGAAGGCAGATGCTTCACTGACTGAGCCACCCAGGTGTCTCTCTGGTTTATTTTTTTTTTTTTAAGATTTTATTTATTCATTTATTTGAGAGAGTGAGAGAGAGAGAGAGCACATGAGAAGGGGGGAGGTCAGAGGGAGAAGCACACTCCCCGCCAAGCAGGGAGCCTGATGCAGGACTCGATCCCGGGACTCCGGGATCATGACCTGAGCCGAAGGCAGTCGCTTAACCAACTGAGCCACCCAGGCGCCCCCTCTGGCTTATTTTTAAGATTTATTTATTTTGAGAGAGAGAAAGAGCACTCATGTGTGAGAGGAGGGGCAGAGAGAGAATTTCAAGCAGACTCCCTGCGGAGCACGGAGCCCAACGTGGGGCTCGATTTCACGACCCTGAGATCATGACCTGAGCCGAAACCAAGAGTTGGATGCTCAACTGACTGAGCCACCGAGGCGCCCCCAGGCTTCTTTTAAAGTGTACATATAGCATGTGCATCAGGGTGTTTATTGGGATCATGAAATTCTGCCTTGTGTTATGTTTCCCACTTATTAATTTCTTTTTTTTATTAAGTTCAATTAGCCAACATAGAGTACATCATTAGTTTTTGATGTAGTGTTCAATGATTCATTAGTTGTGTAGAACACCCACTTATTAAATTCTGACCATTTTTCCTCTTTATTAAATTACTTTTTTTAAGATTTTATTTATTTATTTGAGAGAGAGAATGAGAGAGAGAGAGAGCACACGAGAGGGGGGAGGGTCAGAGGGAGAAGCAGACCCCCTGCTGAGCAGGGAGCCTGATGCGGGACTCGATCCCAGGACTCCAGGATCATGACCTGAGCTGAAGGCAGTCGCTTAACCAACTGAGCCACCCAGGCGCCCTATTAAATTACTTCTAAATACTACATTGCTAACATCTGATAGTATCCCATTCTATGAATCATAACTTATTTATCCAATCTCCTAGTTTTGTACCCTTAAACTGTTTCCAGTCTATACAATTACAAATTATGTTAAGACAAACTTTCTTAAACATATGTCATTTTTGTCAAAAATGTCATATGACAATTTTCTTAGGATAAATTCCTGAATGGGAAAATGGCAGATTAAGATGCTGTGTACTTTTATAACTTTTAATGTCATCACCAAATGCCCTCCAGAAAGATGGTTCCTCAGACCTACATGCGAATAATGGAATGATTTTCCCACACCCTGATCAGCAGTGGGCATGCCTCATCACTCAAACCTCTGCCACTGTGGGCAGAAACACTGTCTTTGTTAGTTCCATTTGTCTTTAATTACTGGTGAGGGCAGACATGTTTTTCAAGTACTTATTGGTCATCTTTTTTGTTAGTTGCCTATTTGTGTCCTTTGCACATTTTCCTACTAGAGTAACATGATCAGTTTTATGCAGTTATCATTTTCTTTTTAGCTTGCCCTCCATCCCCTGTCCCTGCTCCAGCCACATCATCACCCTCTCACCACCGTCCCTAGTCGTCACCTGGCGTACGCCTCTCCCGCCTTCTCCATGTTCAAGTCACACACATGCACAGTTGTTCTTCTGATATAGTGTTTGGTGAAGGATGTCACAAACCCTTCTTTTTATATTGCTTTTTTTACTCACATAATACCTTGTGAAAAACTCCCCAATTCTTAGAACTCTAACTTATAATTTTCAATGACTGTGTAATATTCCACAGTAGGAATTCTTCCTGATTCTTCAGTCATTCTTGATTAATGGACTTTCTCTTGCTGTCCAGTTTTCTACCACAATGCGGCCACAACATTTATACACATTTATCCTTATGTAATGACATTTTATTTCTATGAGATAGATCACCAGGGCTGAAAAATAAGCATGGTTTTCATTCACACATTTGCCAGATTCTTTCCATAAAGGGTGTAGCACTCCACGCTTCACCAGCAAAGCTCAGAGTACCCTCTGATGAATACTCACCAGCAAGAGGCATTCTGATGGTCTTTAATTTTTGCCAGAGTGATAAGGTGTACAGACACCAGAAAAAGTAAATATGTGGGGAAACAAGACTATTTCTTATACTCTATAAGAAAGACTTTTAATAGTATAAGGAGATAATAATAATTTATTGTGGGGTTTATGACATATATAGAAGTAAAATATGATACATCAATAGCCCAAATAGCACAAAAATGGGGGCTAGTAAATGGAACTAATTTGGAGGAGTCTTACATGGTGAAGTGGTCAAAAAAAAAAAAAAAAGACTGGGATAGGTTAAAGATGCATATCACAATTTCTTGGTAACCGCTAAAATATTAGTAAAAGATGATACAGGTGAAAAGCCAACAGAGGAGATAATGTGGAATTATAAATAATATTTTATTAATCCAAAAGGAGGCAAGACTGGAGAAAGGTACCAAGAAGAAATAGAAAACAAACAGCAAGATGTTCAACTCAACCATATTAGTCACTATGTTAAATGTTAATGGACTAAATACTCCAATTAAAGAGCAGAAATTACCTGACAGTAAAAAAAAAAAAATGACACACCTACAGGCTCTTTACAAGAAAAACATTTTAAATATAAGGTCTTATATTCAAAATATAGGTGTATGTGTACCATGCAAGCTGGTACAGTTATGTTAATATAAGACAAAATAGATGCAAGGCAAGAAATATTACCAGGTAAAAAGAGATTTCATAAAAATAAAAGTCAATTAGTCTAGAAAGTAAAAAATATCCTAAATGTATGTGCCAAATAACAAATTCAAAATATATGAAGCAAAAAGTGATAGATTCAAAAGGAAATTTAAAAAAAAAAGACAAATCCACAATCATAGTAGAAATTTCTTTGAACATTTATTTATTTTAGAGACAGAGAGAGCAGGTGTCTGGGCAATTGCAGGGAGGGGCAGAGGGAGAGAATCCCAAGCAGACTCCCTGCTGAGCACAGAGCCTGACAGGGGGCTCAATCCCACGACCCTGAGATCATGACCGGAGCCAAAACCAAGAGTCGGGACACTTAAACTGACTGAGCGACCCAGGCACACCCATAGTGGAAATTTTTGAAGCTCATCTCTCTCAATAATTACACAACAAATGGGCAATAAGTCAGAAAGAACACAAATATTTGAACAATGCTAATAACCCATTTGACCTTAATGACATTTATAGAAAACCACCAACCACAGAAAACATATTCTTTTGGGTGCATGTGGGACATTCACCAAAATAGCCCACCTGACTAGGCCACAAAGCAGGCCTGAATAAATTTCCAAACACTGAAATTTGTACAGAGTATATTTTCTGACCAAACATAATCAAACCAAAATTAAGTAACAAAAAGATGAATAAAAATTCCTAAATGTCCAGAAATAGGCAGCACACTTCTGAACAGCCCAGAAATTTTCTAATTTCCATTGTGACATATTATAAAGTATTTTAACTGATCAACAATGAAAATATAATGTATTTAAGTGTGTGAGGCACAGCAAACTGATGATCACAGGAAAAGTTATGGCTTTAAAAACATGTATTAGAGAAGAAAGGTTTAAGTCAGTGATGCAAACTTCCATCACAAGATGCTATAAAAAGAGAAAATTAAACCCAGAGAATAAAAGAAATAAAGATAAAAGCATAAATCAATAAAATAGAAAGCAGATGAACAAAGAGAAAGTCAACAAAGACAAAACCAGTTCTTTGAAAAGATAAAACTGATAAAACCCCTTAAAAGATAGATCAAGAGGAAAGGAGAAATAAAACACAAACTGTAACAAGGATCTCTTCTGTAATGATGGACACAATTAACAGGATAAACACAAATATTACTGAAATACTACCATGACTAACTCACAAGTAATTGAGAAAAGTAAAATAACAAGATACCACTTCTAACTTATCAGACTGAGCAAATTTTAAGAGTGTGATGTTCTCCTACCCTACGATCCAGCAACTGCACTACTAGGTATTTACCCCAAAGATACACACGTAGGGATCCGAAGGGGTACATGCACCCCAATGTTTATAGCAGCAATGTCCACAATAGCCAAACTATGGAAAGAGCCCAGATGTCTGCGGACACATGAATGGATAAAGAAGATGTGGTTCATATATATGATGGAATACATATACAGTGGAATATTACCATCAAAAAAGAATAAAATCTTACCATTTGCAACAAAGTGGATGGAACTAGAGGGTATTATGCTAAGTGTAATAAGTCAATCAGAGAAAGACAAATACCATATTTTACTCATATGTGGAATTTAAGAAACAAAACAGAGGAACATAGGGGAAGGGAAGGAAGAGTAAAATAAAATAAAAACAGAGAGACAAACCATAAGAGACTCTTTTTTTTTTTTTAAAGATTTTATTTATTTATTTGAGAGAGAGAATGAGAGAGAGAGCACATGAGAGGGGGGAGGGTCAGAGGGAGAAGCAGACTCCCCGCCGAGCAGGGAGCCCGATGCGGGACTCGATCCCGGGACTCCAGGATCATGATCTGAGCTGAAGGCAGTCGCTTAACCAACTGAGCCACCCAGGCGCCCCCATAAGAGACTCTTAACCCTAGGGAACAAACTGAGGGTTGCTGGAGGGGTGGGGGGGTGAGGCAACTGGGTGACGGGCATTAAGGAGGGCACGTGATGGAATGAGCACTGGGTGTTGCATGCATGTGATGAATCACTGAACTCTACCTCTGAAACCAACAGTACAGTATATGTTAACTAAACTGAATTTACATACTTAGGAAAAAAAGAATCTGATGCTCTCAAGTGTCAGCAAGTACTCCCTGGGCTACTGGCAGACCCACAAACTGGAGAACAATTGCTCACTACCTAGTAAAACTGAAACTGTGCCACCCTTCCACCCTGCAATGCCATTACTAGGCATACACCCTGGAGCACATCTGCTCAAGGAGATGGGAGGAGAATATTCACTGCAGCACTGTTTGAAAGAGAGAAAAACTGGGAACAACACTAAGTGTCCAACACAAGGGAAATAAATAAAAGGTGGTGTCCACCTACTGTACAGCAGTAAGACTGCAACAGACCTGCACACAAATACGACGTTCACACAAGGAGCACACTGCAGAAGCGTCCTGCAGGACTGAACTAGTTCTACACACACATCAAGGGCAAAGCCCCCAAAGCAACACTCAGAAAAGGCAAGTTGCAGATGACAGATTATGACGCCACTTAGACAAATTCTAAAAAGTACACAAAACAATATCATATACTGTTCAAAGATGCCTATATTAGGTATAAAAGCATAAAAAATGGTGCAGAAGCACAAAGATCAATTCATAATTCACAGCAGTATTTGCCTGCGGAAACAGAGGAAGAAGAATGGGGCTGGGGTTAGGGAGCAAACCACCTATGGTTTCCTTCAGAATATGTATACCTGTGTATACACATACACATTCTAAAGCAAATACTACAAAATGTTAACAAGTTGTCACATCTCTGTGGTATGGACTTGACGTTTACAATATTATTCTGTAAATCTGCCAATATTTTTTTTAAGATATCTTTTTTTTTTTTTTAAGATTTTATTTATTTATTTGAGAGAAAGAATGAGATAGAGAGAGAGAGCATGAGACGGGGGAGGGCCAGAGGGAGAAGCAGACCCCCCGCCGAGCAGGGAGCCCGATGCGGGACTCGATCCCAGGACTCCAGGATCATGACCTGAGCCGAAGGCAGTCGCTTAACCAACTGAGCCACCCAGGCGCCCCATAAATCTGCCAATATTTTTTAAATTTCTCAAAAGAACAGGGCATCCACAGAATTTAAAAGTTTTATGATTAATTTTAAGAAACAGATTAGTGAAATGACCCAATTATGAATCAAATTCCTATGTATAAAAACTCAAATGAAATTACAACAACCATTGGAAGGACAGAGAAAAAAAGAAATGTTAACATTGACATCACAGATATGAAAATGTTTGATTTTTTAAAAAACATTATTTGTTAGAGTATTCATCTGGTTTTTAATTTTATATCATCAACATTCCTTGAAATTTAGGGTCTTTTTTTTTTTTTTATTAATAGCTTGAATGAAACTAGATGTGTGTGTCCCAGGCAGAAAAAAAGCATGAATAAGGCAATCATTTCTAACGTGTCCAGCCTGGGACTTTACTAAACAACTAAAACAGTGTATGTACTTCAGCAGTTCAATACCAAAGGTAGAGTCAATGCAGGTATTTACAACCCAATTCAGAACGTCAGAAGCCTTACAAACACTGCATTTCTTCCATCTACGCAGCCCACGGCTGGTGGCGGAGCCATGCTCTCTGCAATGTCTGTGGTCCTTACATACACGTTCTTACACACCAGAGCTGAAATTACCTGCAGTTCACCTCGGGGGCAGTCACCTGATGTTGCCATGGTTCTCTTAGGATCTGCCGCATCGCTGCCACTTTTAATACTTCATTTTCCCCTCCATTGCTACTTTTAAAAAGAGAAACAGTGAGAAAACACTTTGTTACATTCGCTTCACTTCTAAGGTCCTGGTAAAGATCCTAGAGTAAAGATCCTATGCCAAATGGAAGTAAAACGGGTGTTTAAAGAACGAAATAGAAATCAAATTTATAAATACAATTCTTTACAGAAACAATGGAAAGCATTTAAAATTTATGACTTCTAATAGTATGTTTTCTTCACTAGTCTGCAAAGGTGTTGATCTTATTTACTGAATGAACACTGTTTCTGTTAGATTACTGGGTTGATTTAAAACAACAAATCAATGTCAAATCTTTTCTTAGAACCCTGATAGCTCCAACTGATTCACTCCAACTGAAATGCCCTGCTGTGAAAATAAAGGAAACCTCATTTGAAATGGAGTCAGGAGGCCAGCAGGGGGAGCGCTCACCCCCACACACCAGTTACAGACCCAACAGGAGGAAGCTCATTTTACCACCATAGCAGGAGGACAGTCTCCTACCCAGGCAATAGCCCAGCCGGGAGACCCTCACAGCCCGGCCAGAGAGACTGTCACACTGTCACAACCCGGCCAATAGGGACCATCACAGCCAGCCAATGGGACACTGTCATAGCGTCACAGGCCGGCCAATGGGAGACTGTCATAGCGTCACAGCCCAGCCAATGGGAGCCTGTCACAGCGTCACAGCCAAGCCAATGGCAGCCTGTCACAGCATCACAGCCCGGCCAATGGGAGACTGTCACAGCGTCACAGCCCGGCCAATGGGAGCCTGTCACAGCATCACAGCCAAGCCAATGGCAGCCTGTCACAGCGTCACAGCCCGGCCAATGGGAGACTATCACAGCATCACAGCCCGGCCAATGGGAGGTTGTCACAGAGTCACAGCCCGGCCAATGGGAGACTGTCATAGAGTCACAGCCCAGCCAATGGGAGCCTGTCACAGCGTCACAGCCAAGCCAATGGCAGCCTGTCACAGCGTCACAGCCCGGCCAATGGGAGCCTGTCACAGCGTCACAGCCAAGCCAATGGCAGCCTGTCACAGCGTCACAGCCCGGCCAATGGGAGACGGTCACAGCATCACAGCCCGGCCCATGGGAGGTTGTCACAGCGTCACAGCCCGGCCAATGGGAGATGGTCACAGCGTCACAGTCCGGCCCATGGGAGGTTGTCACAGCGTCACAGCCCGGCCCATGGGAGGTTGTCACAGCATCACAGCCCGGCCAATGGGAGACTGTCACAGCGTCACAGCCAAGCCAATGGGAGACTGTCACAGCGTCACAGCCCGGCCAATGGGAGCCTGTCACAGCGTCACAACCAAGCCAATGGCAGCCTGTCACAGCGTCACAGCCCGGCCAATGGGAGACGGTCACAGCGTCACAGCCCGGCCCATGGGAGGTTGTCACAGCGTCACAGCCCGGCCAATGGGAGGTTGTCACAGCGTCACAGCCCGGCCCATGGGAGCCTGTCACAGCGTCACAGCCCAGCCAATGGGAGGTTGTCACAGTGTCACAGCCCGGCCAATGGGAGACTGTCACAGCGTCACAGCCCGGCCAATGGGAGGTTGTCACAGTGTCACAGCCCGGCCAATGGGAGGTTGTCACAGTGTCACAGCCCGACCCATGGGAGGTTGTCACAGCGTCACAGCCTGGCCCATGGGAGGTTGTCACAGCGTCACAGCCCGGCCCATGGGAGGTTGTCACAGCGTCACAGCCCGGCCAATGGGAGGTTGTCACAGCGTCACAGCCCAGCCAATGGGAGACTGTCACAGTGTCACAGCCCGGCCAATGGGAGGTTGTCACAGAGTCACAGCCCAGCCAATGGGAGACTGTCACAGCATCACAGCCCGGCCAATGGGAGACTGTCACAGCGTCACAGCCCGGCCAATGGGAGACTGTCACAGCGTCACAGCCAAGCCAATGGCAGCCTGTCACAGCGTCACAGCCCGGCCAATGGGAGGTTGTCACAGCGTCACAGCCCGGCCCATGGGAGCCTGTCACAGCGTCACAGCCCGGCCAATGGGAGGTTGTCACAGCGTCACAGCCCGGCCAATGGGAGGTTGTCACAGTGTCACAGCCCGACCCATGGGAGGCTGTCACAGTGTCACAGCCCGGCGCATGGGAGGTTGTCACAGCGTCACAGCCCGGCCAATGGGAGGTTGTCACAGCGTCACAGCCCGGCCCATGGGAGGTTGTCACAATGTCACAGCCCGGCCCATGGGAGACTGTCACAGTGTCACAGCCCGGCCAATGGGAGGTTGTCACAGAGTCACAGCCCGGCCAATGGGAGACTGTCACAGCGTCACAGCCTGGCCAATGGGAGACTGTCACAGCGTCACAGCCCGGCCAATGGGAGACTGTCATAGCGTCACAGCCCGGCCCATGGGAGACTGTCACAGCGTCACAGCCCGACCCATGGGAGGTTGTCACAGCGTCACAGCCCGACCCATGGGAGGTTGTCACAGCGTCACAGCTCGACCCATGGGAGACTGTCACAGCGTCACAGCTCGACCCATGGGAGGTTGTCACAGCGTCACAGCCCAGCCAATGGGAGGTTGTCACAGCGTCACAGCCCGGCCAATGGGAGGTTGTCACAGTGTCACAGCCCGGCCAATGGGAGACTGTCATAGCGTCACAGCCCGGCCCATGGGAGGTTGTCACAGTGTCACAGCCCGGCCAATGGGAGACTGTCACAGCGTCACAGCCCGGCCAATGGGAGGTTGTCACAGTGTCACAGCCCGGCCAATGGGAGACTGTCATAGCGTCACAGCCCGGCCAATGGGAGACGGTCACAGCGTCACAGCCCGGCCAATGGGAGACTGTCATAGCGTCACAGCCCGGCCCATGGGAGACTGTCACAGCGTCACAGCCCGACCCATGGGAGGTTGTCACAGCGTCACGGCCTGGCCAATGGGAGACTGTCACAGCGTCACAGCCCGGCCAATGGGAGACTGTCATAGCGTCACAGCCCGGCCCATGGGAGACTGTCACAGCGTCACAGCCCGACCCATGGGAGGTTGTCACAGCGTCACAGCCTGGCCAATGGGAGACTGTCACAGCGTCACAGCTCGACCCATGGGAGGTTGTCACAGCGTCACAGCCCAGCCAATGGGAGGTTGTCACAGCGTCACAGCCCGGCCAATGGGAGGTTGTCACAGTGTCACAGCCCGGCCAATGGGAGACTGTCATAGCATCACAGCCCGGCCCATGGGAGGTTGTCACAGTGTCACAGCCCGGCCAATGGGAGACTGTCACAGCTTCACAGCCCGGCCAATGCGAGGTTGTCACAGTGTCACAGCCCGGCCAATGGGAGACTGTCATAGCGTTACAGCCCAGCCAATGGGAGACGGTCACAGCGTCATAGTCCGGCCCATGGGAGACTGTCATAGCGTCACAGCCCGGCCCATGGGAGGTTGTCACAGAGTCACAGCCCGGCCAATGGGAGACTGTCACAGCGTCACAGCCCGGCCAATGGGAGGTTGTTGCCACCCCACACTCACTATCCTTCAATGGATTTTCCTTCAAAGCAGCTCCTCCCACCTTCCTCCTTTTTCTCTGTAAAGTAACCCTCCTCTCCTACATTAGCCAGACTTGCCTTTAGTTTTGCACGTCTGAAATTGCAATTCCTGCCATTTCTGAACAAACCCAATTTGCGGGTAAAATAACTGGCTATTTTATTTTCAAGGTCAACACCATCTGGGGATTTCAAGTGTTTCCACTAACAGGAACCAAATTCTACATCTTGCAGACGGTTTTCCTTCTCATTCAGTTCTCATTTTTCCCAGTGGCAGTGTAATCCATACTATGCTCCAAGATGAATGTTTTTTATTACGTAACAATTCTTTGTTTAAAATGCATGCTTCATTTCTCAAGACTTAATACTTACTTTTGTGACCTCTGTAATTAGAGCGTAAAAATTAACAGGCGAGACCTTGTTTAGAATGGACCTGGGAGGCCAGCAAGGGGAGCTACCTGCACGCCCAGCAGAAAGAGGCAGACTTTGCCGTGGATGCTACTTCACTCCTGCAGCAGAAGGAAGGGTTTCCTCCTGCCCCGGCAACAGCCCAGCCAACAAGAAGCCACCACACTTCCAGCTCCCAGCCTTAGCTTCCTTATCCTGGACTGTAATTCTCTGCTATTCTTAAATAAACCCATTTTTGCTGGTAAAACAACTAGCAGGGTTTTTTTTTTGTTTTAAGGCTAGCAACAAACACTTATATATACATTGCATTTTCACTGGCAAACCCTGGCATTGGGGCCGGGGTGGGATGGAGCCTGCACGGGGCTGGATTGATGGAGGGGGGCCAGAGCGGGGCGGGGCGGGGCCTGGCTGACCGGGCAGGGCCAGGTCAGCGGACCCGGCGGAGGGGGGAGAGGACCGAGCATCCCCAGGGGCTAGCGGCCAACGGCACGAGTGGGGTGGGAGGAGAAAGAATGGGGGGGCCGGAGGGCTCCGATGCAGGAGCAGGACCCGGGGCAAGGCACGGGGCTCGGAGGGGCGCGCGCACCCGGGAGGGAGGTGGGCGCGGCTCTGCGAAGGCGTGGCTGGGGAGAGAGGCGCGGCGGGGCAGGGCGCGGTGCTGGGTGGGGGGAAGGAAGCGAGGGCGGTGGGCGTGGCCCGGGGGAAGGGGCGTGGCCCTGCAGTTGCCCCGCCTGCAGGCAGCCGCTGGAGCGCCCAGCACACGGCCGGGAAGGCTGGGGGTCTTCAGGGGGGCAGCGGCCTCGGTCGACGCACTGACGCACACGCCCGGAAAAGACTCACTTGGCCCGTCCTGCTTCGGTGCGGCCCAGCCGCCCGAGCTGCCCACGGGAAACCTACCTCAGCCGCCTTTCTCCGCTGAGTTCTGCGTCCACACCGCGAGTGCGGAGGGGCGGACGACGCCTACCAGCAGCCCAAGCCACCGCCCTCGGCTCGCGCAGGCGCAGTACGCGCAGGCCGGCCGCGGACGGAGCCCCTCCCTGGGCCCCGCTCCCCACGCCTGCGCAGTCCGTACTCGCCCTTCGTCCGGAGAATGGAGCCGCCGCCTTCGGCCGCACGCAGGCGTAGTCGCTCAGGCCCGTCTGGGAGAAGGTCCTGGCCTGGGAGGAGCGCCCCGCGCAGGCGCACTTCCCGGGTTCCGCTTCCCGCCGAGGCGCGCGGGAGAGCCGGACCTCCTGTCGTGACGGGTGGGCGGTGGGGTCGCCGCGGGGGCCGGGACCCGACCCGGGTTGGGGGGAGCTGGGTGGCTGGGCCCGGGGCCCGTCGTGGCCTGGGGAGCAGAGCCCATCGTGAGGGACAGAAGTGGCCGATTTCTGGAGCAGGACCTCCCTTCTGCGCCTTCCCATCCCTGCTGTGAAGGGACACCTGTCATTCTTCTCACTTGACAAGTGGAGGCAGTGATGAAGCTTTTACTTCACCGGGAGGAAGTGGAGATTGGAAGGGAGACTGGAGAGCATCAGAGCCCCTGACTGCGGGGCGGCCTCGGGGTGGGCAGGTGGCAGCACTGGAGTCCTGGGAACCAACCGTGGAGTAGTGGTGGCGGGGCGAGGGGAGTAAGGAGGTGATGGATGCGGGGGGCGGAAGGAGGGCGCCGGCCTGGCGCAGCGGGTTAAGCGCGGGACCTGATCGGACTCAGGCCTCAGTCTGGGTGGTGAGACTGAGCCCGCGTCAGCTCCGTGCTGGGCGTGGAGCCTGCTTTAAAAAAAAAAAGAAAAGTGGGAGGTGGGTGTTGGCAATGGTCGCAAACGAAGGAAATGTGTTTAATACCACTGATCTGTGCATTCATAAATGGTGAAGGTGGTAAAGTTTATATGTATTTGACCACAATAAAAAAGGAGCAGGAAAACAAATTATCAATGGGAGGAAAGAAAAAGGAACTCAATACAGGATCTGTAGATTTTTAAAAGATAACTGATAATATGAAACGATGTCAAAAATTTGACAAATCACATAAATTGGAAAAATTCCTTGAAAAACACAACAAATTCTTCCCAAAAGAATATTTGGGAAAGCTGCATGGTTCTATATTTGTTAAGGGAATTGATTTTATAATTTAAAACCTTCTTACAAAGGTTACTCCAGGCCCAGATGGCTTCACTAGTAAATGCTTCCAACCATACAAGAAGAAAATGATACCAGTGCTACACAAATTCTGGAAATTAAAGAAAAGTGCAATACTTCCTAACTGGTTCTACAAGACCAGCATAACTCTGCTATAAAATGTTAGCACAAACAATCCAGTGGAAGATAAAATGAGTACATATCATGACCAAGTGTGGTTTACTCTAGGAATGAAAGATGGTTTAAAATTTAAAAATCACTATTTCCACATTTCAGATTATAGGACAAAAGCCATATGAACATCTACATAGATGCAGAAAAAAAGCATTTCATAAAACTCAACACCCACTAAATTCACAAAACTAGAAATAAAAAAGAAAGGAATATCTAAATCTTAGACATAGTTTAAAAACAAGTAACAGCAAAGTAGTGGGTGCTTTTCTCCTGGATTCGGGAAGAAGAGAAGGATGTCCTCCATAATTTCTACTCAGCAGTGTACAGGGGGTCTTACCCCAATGCGAGAAGGCAAAAGAAAGACAGTGTAAAGACTCAAAGAAAAAAGTAAAATTCATTATTCACAGATGGCATAATTGTGTTTGCAGATAATCCAAAATAATGTACAAATAAAGTACTGTAATTAATAAGTGAATACCCTAGTCTCTAGATGAAGGGCCAATGTAGTAGCAATCAACAGAAAATGCAATCTAAAAATTCCATGTACAAAAGCGTCAAGTAGGGACGCCTGGGTGGTTCAGTCGTTAAGTGTCTGCCTTCAGCTCAGGTCATGATCCCGGGGTCCTGGGATCGAGCCCCGCATCGGGCTCCCTGCTCCGTGGGAAGCCTGCTTCTCCCTCTCCCACTCTCCCTACTTGTGTTCCCTCTCTCACTGTGTCTCTCTCTGTCAAATAAATAAATAAAATCTTAAAAAAAAAAAAGCACCAAGTAACATCAAATGTCATCTGTCTTTTAGTAGATAACAGAATGGGACAAACATGTACACAGTAAGGATATAGATCTAAACAACACTATCACACCAATCATTTAATTAACCATCATAAACAACTGCAGAATGCAGTTGTATTCTGTAACATCATAAACAACTGCAGAATGCTAACCAAGATAAACCACATGCTGGACCATAAAATAGTCACAATAAATTGCAAAGGTTGAAATCTTAAAGTGTATGTTCTCTGATCATAATGAAATAAAATTAGAAAATAAAAGAAATCTAGAAAAGTCCCAAATATTTGGAAATTAAGCAGCATACATATAAATAACCCATGGGTCAAAGGAAGCAACCAGAAAGTTTTTTAAAAATTGAATGCTAATGAAAATATACTGCTATAGGGCGCCTGGGTGGCTCAGTTGGTTAAGCGACTGCCTTCGGCTCAGGTCATGATCCTGGAGTCCCGGGATCGAGTCCCACATCGGGCTCCCTGCTCAGCAGGGAGTCTGCTTCTCCCTCTGACCCTCCCCCCTCTCGTGTGCTTTCTCTCTCTCTCTCTCTCTCTCTCTCACTCTCTCAAATAAATGAATAAATAAAATCTTTTAAAAAAAAAAGAAAATATACTGCTATAGTCTGAAAGTCTGTGTTCTCCCAAAGTTCTTACATTCAAATCCTAACCCCCAATAGAATGGTGTTTGAAAGTGGGGCCTATGGAAGGAGATTGGGTCATTAGAGCAGAACCCTCATGAATGGGATTAGAGCCCTTAAAAAGACACTCCAGAGACACCTTACCCTTCTACCATGCCAGGTAACAGCAAAAAAAAAAAAAAAAAAAAGGCCGTCTGTGACCCAGGAAACCCTCACCAGATACTGAATTTGCATGATCTTGGCCTTCCCAGCCTCTAGAACTGTGAAAAAGAAATGTGTATTGTTGTAAGCCACGCCGTTTATTACAACCCAAATGGACTAGAAAACATGTATTAAAATTTGGGGGATGCAGATAAAGCAGAGTTTTGAAAGAAATTGATGCTTTCAATGCTTATGTTAGAATGGAAGAAAAATTTAAAAGCAGTGATCTAAATTTCCAATTTAAGAAGCTAAAATTAAAAAAATAAAGGAAAAGCAAATTAAAACCAAACTAAGTCAAAGAAAGGAAATATTAACTAAATGAATGTTAAGTTAAATAAATATTAAATAAACCAGTGAACTAGAAAACAAGTTAACAAAGAAAAAGTTAACAAAAACAGAAGTTGGTTTTTTGAAAAAAAATGATAGAATTGATAAATTTTAAGCAAGAATTATCAAAAGAAAACTATCAATATTAGAAACGCAAAGGTGGCTTTCTTCCCAGATCACACCAATGTTAAAACAGATAAATAGGGGGTGCCTGGCTGGCTCAGTCAGAGGAGCATGGGACTCTTGATCTTGGGGTTGTGAGTTCAAGCTCCACATTGGGTGTAGAGATTGTAAAAAAATAAATGAATAAACTTAAAAAAAAAGTTAAATAGAAGACCATGACCAACTTTACGCCAGCACATTTGATAATTTGTATGAAATGGACAAACTACTTTAAAGGCATTACTTATCAAAAGTGATACAACAGAAAAGGAAAAATATATGTACTGAGTTATCAAAAAACCTTCCCGCAGAGAAAATGCCAAACCCAAATGGTTTCATTGGTGAATTCCATCAAATGTGTAAGGAAAATATAACACCAGTATTAAACAAAATTTTAAGAAAACAGGGAATGGACACTTCTTCAATTTGTTTTATGAGGGAAGCTTAACTCTGGTACAAGCACCTGACAAATACAAGAAAATTACAGACAAATATCCTTCATAAAAATAGATGCAAAAATCCTTAACAAGACGAACCATGAGAGACGATGGACTCTGAAAAACAAACAGGGTTCTAGAGGGGAGGGGGGTGGGAGGATGGGTTAGCCTGGTGGTGGGTATTGAGGAGGGCACGTTCTGCATGGAGCACTGGGTGTTATGCACAAACAATGAATCATGGAACACTTCATCTAAAACTAATGATGTAATGTATGGGGATTAACATAAGAATAAAAAAGAAAAAGAAAAAGAAAAAAAAAGGAAAAAAAAATCCTTAACAAAATATTAGCAAATCAACCCAATAATAAATAGAAAAGGTAATACATTATTAAGGTCAACTGAAGTTTATCTTAGCAATGCAAAATTGGACTAACACTTGCAAATCAATGTAATTCACAATCTTAACAGAATGAAGGAGAGAATCCATATGGTCTTTCAATAAATTTTTAAAAAGGATTTGGCAAAATTCAATATCAAATCATGATTTTTTTAAGATTTTATTTATTTATTTTAGAGAGATAGCACAAGCAGGGGAAGGGGTAGAGGGAGAGAATGTCAAGCAGACTCCCTGCTGAGCATGGAACCTGAAGCAGGCCTGGATCGCATGACCCCCAGATCATGATCTGAGTGGAAACCAAGAGTCAGACGCTTAATCCACTGAACTACCCCAGTGCCCCAATCATGATTTTTTTTTTTTTTAATATCAGTGATACAGGCAGGCTAGGTCAGAGGACCCAGAGGAGGGGTCCCGCAGGACCAGCCAAGGGGGTCCTTGGCTTCTCACAGGATAGAAATCAAATGTGAGCCAGAGACAGTGAAAACAGAGTTTATTGAACAGTGTGAGTGACAGAGAATAGCAGATGTAGTGTCTGGGAGGCTTGGAACAGGGAACAGAATGAGTCTTGTTGTCACCTGGGGTTAGGGGTTTATATTGGAAAGGGGTCTACGGGATGGGTTCCTACAGGAATCCAAGGTAAGGTCCAACCAAAGGTGAGTGTCAGATGAGTGATAGGTGTTATGCCATAAGTCACTGAAGGTAGAGGGTGGGGGTTTTTTGTTTTGTTTTGTTTTTTGTTTGGGGGGAGTTTTTTGTGAGTAAAATGATAGAAGTTTATTAAGCAAGGATACAGAAGAAGCTCTCAGGAGTGAGAGGGGTCCCAACAGGGTTGCCCTGA